AGCACCTACTGTGTGCCACGCAGTGGTTATCACTGAGATGATGATGATAGTGATGAAAAAAGAGACATGACCTCTGTCATCACGGAACAGCTGGTGAGAAGTCGGGGTACGTGCTGCGAGGGAGGAGGTGCCCTGGGGTAAGCGGCCTTCCTCCCGAGAGGTTCGCTGAGGGGTGATTTCCCAGGGTGAGAGCTGCAGGATGAGGAACTGTCGGAGGAGGAGTTGGGGTGAGGGTTCCCTACATAGACAACAGCACATTAAAAGGCTCTGGGCCGGGCCAGTGTGGCTCAGCGGACTCATGAATCAGGAGATTCCTGGTCAGGGCACATGCCAGGGTTGTGGGCTAGGTCCCCAGCAGCGGGCGTGCAGGAGGCAAGCGATCTATTGGTGATTCTCTCTCATCATTAGTGTTTCCATTTCCCTCTCCCTCTCCCTTCCTCTCTCTGAAATCAATAGAAACATTGTAAAGAATGGCTCTGGAGTGGGGAACGAGGTTGGCTTTGAGGATGAAGGAGGCAGGTGTGGCCCAGGATGAGGGAGCAGCAAGCAGGTGCGGCCCTCCCAGGCCGTCAGTTGGTCCTGTGAGCGTCCCCAGCCGAGGGCGTCCCAGAGGCTGCCTGCCCCTTCCCTCTTCCTGTTGTCACCTGTGGAGGGAATAAACAAGGAGAGAAGATGAAAGCGAGTCTCAGTGAACCTGTAGCCAGTCGTCATTTCAGGTACCAGAAAGTTTGCAGACACGCCCCAGGGGCTGTACCGCGGCTCTAGGGTGAGTGGCTTTAAGGCAGATGCCCGGCTCGCTCTGCCTGGGCCACTCGGACCCGCCCTGGAGCCAAAGGATGGCGGTGAGCACAGGGCGTCGGATTGAAAAACCGAAATCTCGGTTGATGCTGAAAAGCGAACCTGGGTTGTTGGGCCCGGGAGGCTCTGGAAGGTCCTCCACTGCGTGAGGTGGACCTGACCCCCAGGGGGCGTCCTCGGCTCTTTCTGCTGTCAGGACCCCTCAAGTTTGGGAAGGCAAAGGGGCCGGCAAGGTGGCCGCAGGCTGTGTCCCGCCGGGACCGGACATGGTGGGGGGCAGGCTGTGGAGCCAGCACGTCCCCCCCCCTTTACCTGCACTCTCTCCTCATTTTAGAAGAAATGAACTTTGAACGCAGAAGGAAGAGAGCGCTTGATGCTGTGTACACAGCGTGGTCAGAAGGATCGCCTTCTAATCTTTTACTGCCCGCGGGGCAGGTGGTGCGGGAAGCTGCTGGCAGGAGGGGCTGTTTTCTCAGGGGTGGTTGTGCAATGAGAGTATGTTTGAAGCTGCAGGAGGTCCGAGCGGCTTGCCCACAGGCATGTTACGCAGAAGTCTCCCTCCATGCGATCTTGTTTGCTTGGTGTCATTGGGAGTGTTGTGCCCACAGATCGCTGGAGCTCTGGGCTGCACAGCTATGCCCATTCTGTAGTTAAAGTAGCGCTTTTTCTAAAAAGGACTCGACTGCCCTCGCCGGGTGGCCCAGCTGGTTGGAGCGTCGCCCCGGACACCAAAAGACTGTGGGCTTGATTCCCACTCAGGGTGCCTTTGTGAGGCAACCAATTGATGTTTCTCTCTCACCTTGATCTCTCTCCCTCCTTCTCTCTCTTTCTCTCTCTCTCTCTTTCTCCCCTCCCCCTCCCTCTCCCTCCCTTCCTCTCTCTAAAATCAATAAAAAAAAATCCTCGCTGAGGATTGAACATTTTTTTTTTTTAATAAAAAAAGGACTCTACTGTCAAAGCTCTCCTGAGATGCCATCTGAGGTCGTTCCTTCAGCAGCTGTTAGTGAATAGGTTGCTGTTGTAGCCTAACCGTGACTCGTGTCTGCGGAGGAGAGACAAGGGGATGCTCTGTCTCTGTCCAGTGGTGACGTGGAGGTAGACAGTGACTGAGCAGGTGCTGGGGACCGGGCTGTGCTGAGCTTGCGTCTGGGGCCGTGACCAGACGTGACCAGTCGGTGAAAGGAGAAGTGAGGGTATTTTTAGCCGTCAGGGCTGCTCGGAAACGTCGGTTTTCCCCGGCCCAGCGGCTCCCAGAGAGAGGCAGCTGTGCGCTCATTCGCTCCAAGTCAGTGTCGACACATTCTGCTTCTGTTTGATACTTCAGCACACTCGTGGGGACTGGTAAGCAGCTGATTTGATGGAGTAGCTTTGAAACCCACACAGTTGAGCTCACATGCGTGGGGTTCCCGTGAGGGCCTCCGAGAGAGCCCCTTGGCCCGGGGACCGCCCTGTCCCTCGGCTGGTTTACCTGGAAAGGGTCTTGAGGACACCCTTCACTGCGTCCTTCCCTGTATTCGGGGATCCAAGCATGCACGGAAGCTCTGCTCTTGAGAGCCACGTGACCTCTGCAGTTAGGGTCTCACCGTTCTGGGTGCACCAGGGTAAGCCACTACCATGTGAAGCCATCTGAGGATTTGGGTGCAATTTTAGAGATGTGGTAAAGGGAAGGGAGTCGGCCTGGGCTGGGTCAGCTGCCCCTAGACTTGCCTTTGCAGGCTGAGGGAGAGCACTAAGTCCCTGGCACACAAGGGCTTTACCCCCTCTGGCCACTTCTGGTTTCCTGGCCATGGTTGTGTTTGAAGTGCCTGCAGGCCATCCACGCCAGTGCTGCCAACCCCGGGCGTGTGGACGAAGGACTGGGGTGGGGTTGGGAGGCCGGCCTCTTGGCTCTGAGTCCCAGCTGGGCCGGCCACCCACTGGCTGTGAGCCTCCGGGCACATTAAAGTCACTTCCTGCCTTTGTGCTGTAGTTTCCTCGTCCGAGGGATGGGAATGGTGGTGGTACCCTCGGGGCTGCGCCGCCCCAATGGGTTAATCCCTGTGGAACGCCCGCCAGGGGCTGGGCCTTTCCTGGGATGAATCACAGCCTGCATTCCAGGTGACGGTCTGTTACCCGTTCTCCTGCCTCGTGGGCAGTTTTGCCTCCGAGTGGCAAACACGAAACAGCCAGCGTGTGCACAGTCGGTCAGAGCGCGTGGAAGGACCAGGGGAGCCGAGGGGCCAGGATGGGTTCGAGAGGCCCTTCCGACGGGGCAGCGGGGCTCCGGGGCCCCCCTCTCCCGATGCGGGCGCAGCAGGCCTGGCCTCCCCAGGGAAAGCGGGAGGGCCCCGCGTGGAACCCGTGCCCAGCATCTCCCCGGGATGGCGGCGCGGTAGACACGCCTCAGGTAGGCAGCTCGCTGGCCTCCCAGGCAGCACCGGCCCGTCCCCTGCACTTTGGGGGCCTGTCAGACTCCTGAGCTCCTGGACCAGCTGGTTCTCCCCGACACACACTC